GTGTCCCACCTACAACATGATTTTTTTTTACCAATATCACCTCGGTTTTAGCATAATTGTGTAATATCTGTAAGAATCGTTATTGGAGTTTCCTCCGAAAACAGAAACGCGATAAAGCTAAGTGCCGGAATTGCTTGTATGGTCCTGGGAAGTTGACTGCAGTTTTGCGGGCTAACAGCTGCATATATGGATATCGGTTGATATCGTAATTGGAAATTAAGCGTTTGGTCAATATCGCCATACTGGCTATCGGCAAAAAGTTAATATCAGAGATCACTATTTTTTACCTTTAGCAAAAGTAAGAATAAACAAGATATTTTGTTCAATTCATCTATAGTGGTATCTATATATAAAGGTTTGATGTAATTTTTAATGAAATCAATTCTGAGTCAGTTGTTATTGTGTTTGAAAACCAGGTCACACACTCATCGATGTAGAAGGCTAACTATTATTATGGTAAGCTGTTGAATTTTGGGTTTTTAAATTTTAAGTCAAGCAAATCTCGCAGATGAAAGTAGCAGCATTTGGGTTCATTTTGTATTTGTACTCAAACCCAGCTTGGGTGTCTAAGCAGCTACTCTGCCATTTTCAAGCATCCAGGGTGGGAGCGTGGGCCGAGACTGACAGAGGTGTTTGTTGAAGGAAAACAGAAGGTGCTCAAGGCATTTTGTTTTTAAAACAAATTGGACCTGACATTATCCCCGTTTTAGTCTCCCCCTCGTTTCGTTTATCTTAATTGTTTCCCCAAAACTCACCCTATTAAAAGAGCGTCTGTGTTTTCATTTAAATTATCCTAAAAACTCATTACAGCAGCGTTCTAGTCACTGCTACCACCATCCCTTCCTTCCCCCCTTTATTGCCCCCCCCCCCTCTCTGTTTCATTGGTTTTTTTTTCTTCACAGTATATAAAACAAAAACTCTCTTCTGCTGCTCACATGTTTGAACGTATTCTTTCTGTGCCTGTTTTGTTCACCACCAAGGACCATCTGTCTGTCACTATCTTAACAGCTAACAACTCTTGGATGCTAAATTGCTAGTTAAAATTTTCCCAACTTTTTCCATAATAATAGTTCCATCATTTGGATTGGTCAAATATAAAAAGGCTTCCTGCTGTTTTTTTGCCTATCTGTTTTCTCAGAATAAAGTAAAAAATATTTTTTTTACATTTAGAAATGTTTTTTTATCTAAATTAATCACGATTAGTTGTTATATTAGTACAATTATTTTTTTTAAATTGTTGTTTTTTCCTACTATCTAACACCACACCCAACTTCATTCACTTCACTTTCTCTTCTTCACACCTTTTCTTGCTGCCATTTGTCAGTTGATCTGGACGGTCGACCCCACTTCACCATGTCATCTCTTTGCATCCTAACCTTTCCACCCACCTTGACCTTATTCACGGACATTTTCACAGTGTTTTCTCTTGCGTCTGGTTCAATGCGTCTCACTCCTGTCCCACTTCATTTGTCAACTAAGAGATAATAGATATTTTTATATCTGCAGCTGAACCAGGAACAGACCACGGGCATCTGCCAAGTTGTAGAAACAACGTTGGTGCTGGACTGACGCGAACCAAATTCTTATCGGATTAGAGTGAAATTTAAGAAGGTACTGGCAATAATAGGTATGAAAAAGATGTTGGCAAACAGAATTAATGCATATACATTTTATAAAAATAAATACCTTTAAAATTATTTACATGCTAATAACAGGAGTATAAGGTTTTCAAATTAGTAGTGAGATCTGCTATGACGTATGGTTTGGAGGCAGTGGGTCTGTCTTGAAATTAGGAGCTGGATGTGACATTTTTTATTGGAAATGACCAGGATGGCCAAAATGAGAAATGACCGTGTCAAACAAAGTTAAATTTGGCCATTCATTTGGACGGGTCATTATATGTACTATAAATGGCTTGCCCATGTTCTAAGATAGAGAGTATCTGGAGCGAGGATGATGTCCACTGAGCTGCTAGGCAAAAAAAAAAAATCTCAGGAGGGATTGAAAGGTTGGTGTGAGCAAGCTAAATATTCTACTGTGGAAAGCCCTGAAAGGAGCGAGCTAAACTTGCAACGCTGCTGCATGTTTAAACATATCACTGCAAATGTAATATTTAACATACACAGCGTGGGACATCACTCATTTGGTCATTTTTGGTATGAACCGTATGAATGTAGACATGCGCTTAACTTCTCAATCAACAACTCCGAGCTCTTTGAAACAGGACTTGAAACAGATCGCCCACTGGGTAAGTGCTTTTTTAAAACATGCCAAACCACAGCTAAAGCTGCAGAGTAGGATTTAAAGTAGATTACTGGTAATCCATGGCACTGAGTAAAAGTCCTATTCTTGGCTTGTGTTGGTTTTTTTTTTTTTTTTTAACTTTACTTGTTAATTTCCTCAAGACAGGATTCCGTACAATATTATACACAGTTAACTGATGTCTATAAAAGAGGGCCAATTTATCAAAGTATTGCCTAGCACTGAGTGTCGGCAATATGAAAAGATGACAAATGTTCAAACACGGCAAAGTGGAAATGGCACCGTACAAATGAAAGCAACGGCTGAAAAAAATGAGGAGGACTAGTAGGAGGGAGAGAGAAAGAGCGGATATTTTTCCACAGAGGTGGCATCGGCACATATATAACTGTCTAGGAGAGACCGAAACAGAGAGGGTGGGGGGCGGGGGGTCACTTTTCATCACGCTATTGTTGTGTGCGAGAGAGGCCTGCTGATCCTGCTCATGCATGGGAAACAAGGCATCGGTTCAATGAAGACATGAGGAGAGCAGTCGAAAAAAGTTACATAAGATATCACTCCTCCGTTCGCCGGCATTATTCAACCATTTCCATCTGATCTCTAAATCACGCATTAGGGTGCAATGACAGGATATGCCAGCAGGAGGCTCGTGGATGAAAAGAAAAGACCTGCTGAGTGGCAGACGTCTGCATGCAATTAGTCAAACTACAGCAGTACTGCATGCTGCCGAACAACCTCATGATGAGCGCGTCACTGTTCAGTTCGGCTTTTTTTTTCTTCATTTTTTTCAACTTTTGCACTTTCGAAAAATGGTAACCACATTTTGACTTATCAGATGTTATGTGAGGAACTATAGGTTAGATGGCATTAACATCCATCAGCAAAAGTGTCTGGACCAAGGGTACCCACAATTTTTAGGCTATTCAAATGATCATAGTATATGGTCATTACTACACACTATATATATATATATATATATATATATATATAACATTAAACTAATTGTTAATTGTTTCGCTTAAGGCGCCTTGTAATCCGGTGCGCCTCAGGACCGAAAAATACGGTATATATATATATATATATATATATATATATATTGTATATATATATAAAATTCTACAGTGTGTAGTAATGAGCATATATATACATATATACCATGTATACTATATATACAGTATGTAAATATATATATATACAGTATATACAGTGTATGTATATATATATATATATATATATGACTCTAGTCTAGACTGTGCACCAAACTCTAAGGGAATGTCAACTTAAAACATTGTGGTCATTACTCCTCAAAAATATGACACTGACTTTAAAACTGACGTCAACATTACTATTTGTTACCCATATAAACTAAGAGTAAAAAAACAGGTAGAAGGTTCTGTGGCATTCACAAACCCAACTTTTTCACGTGTAGTGCATAATAAATTTAAAATGTAATAACATATCAGACGATCAAAAGCATTGTCGGAGATCAGGGGAGGGAAGGAAATAGCTTTTTTTTGTTTTGGAAAGTTCTAACCTTTAGAACAGATTGCTCCCTCATCTGGGAATGACCTTCAGTCCAAAACAATAAGGTAATTTCTTTAAACGATTTAAACAAAAACAAAACAGACCATACAGTTTAAAACTTCAAATTGAATTCATAATTAATGGCTGCTGTCCTTCACACTACCTGATGTCCATAACAAACAATCATCTCTGAGCACAGTGTTTGACATTTTGGTTTTCTGGTTGAAACACTGTGATATTTATTTCCTGACCAAGTCTCTTTGTAAAATGTCTGGACTTCTTCCCAAATCAAAGTTTTCATATTACTTTTAACAGCACTACAGCTAAGATGTAGCATAATAGCTTAAAATGTGCCAATATATATAACTAAAACATGCAATTTCAATAAATTGCCCTAGAGATGATACGCAAATTTCCACAAATCTTTGAAACAATTACAAGTATATTAGATATTTATTATTACTTATTCAAATTTAATGAAATGTTATTTCATAAAAAATATCCTGAACATGAAGCGTGTGTATATTTTATATTCTCAAAATTCATCAAGCGGACCAGACTGAACACCCTACTGGGCCAGTTTTGGCCCGCAGGCCGTATGTTCGACACCCCTGCACTCCACACTCCGATTAACTGATAACAGAGAAAAACCTGCACTCCACGCTCCGATTAACTGATAACAGAGAAAAACATTAAAATTCATTCTTTTTTTTTAACTTGGACAATTAAGTCATTCTGATTGTTTGTAGTGGGTGGAAATGACAAGTTGTTTCTTTGCGAGAGGAAGCCTGGATAATGATATTGGCGGCTGCAGCATCGGTGGCACAGCGGCCACCATCTTCATGTGTAATCAATACCTCTGCTGACTCAATTTCACAGGGAGCTTTAAAAGAATGTTTCTTACTAAATCGGGAAAACAAGAAAAGCTCAAAGACAAATGAGACAAGCATCCTGTGTTTATATGGTCAGCTATACACCTTAGAACAGGGGTGTCAAACATACGGCATGTGGGCCAAAACGGGCCCACTAGGGAGTTCAATGTGGCCCACTTGATGAATTTTGAAAGTGGTAAACATACACAAACAGTTCAATGTCAAAGATGTTTTGCAATTGTTTTTTGAAAAATCCTCATTTGAACATAAATTTAAATATTTTAGTCCAGCTGCTTATAGTTGTTAAATGTTAAAAAAACAAAACTGTCGGACACTGTGACTTACCATACACCAAGAGGGTGTAGTGATCGGCGGCCCGTCCGTAGTTGTTCTGAGCCTGGCACAAGTACGTCCCGTTGTACGTCTGGCTCAGGCGGGAAATCTGGAAAGTGGGCCCTGAAATCTCAGCCCTTTCAGGTAAGGTGTCATTAATCTTGGACCACTGAATGTTCCTGGGTCTGGAGGAAGAAGTGAGAAAAAAGGTAAACAGAGAGACAGAAAAAATATTAATGCCATCCATGGTATTAAAAAGTAATTAAATGATTAAAAAGGTCTTGTTATTTATAGAGGTTTTATTTGGTGTGTATTTACAGTAAAGTCCGTACATATCGGATCATCAACTTTAAGGTGTAGTACCACTGCTGGCCTGCAGGAAATTCATATTCTTAAATACAAAGTCTTCAACTAATCCAGTGGTTCTCAGTTATTTTCAGTCATGCCCCGCCTTGTGGACAGAAATGTTTTCACGTCCTCCATGTATATTTTTATCTGTACAAACCACTGTATGAGTTGCTGCCCCCTAGTGTGTGGTCAAGAGCCTGTCGACACCATTTCATTGGAGACTCAGGCCCAGTGTCTGCAACTTGCTTTTTGGGAGACACGTATAACCTGAGAGAAACAAGCATATTTACTACGATGTGAAGAACACAAATAATTTAACCAAAACTGAGGGTCAAAATTTTTGATATATTGTTTCATTTTTAATTCCCAGAACCAATAATTTAAGCCCCTGGCAGATGAGTTTTATTATAAATATTTAAAATTAAAAATACTTTATCCTGTGACATTGATATTGGTTAGTTGAACCAATATTCAACTAAAATAGAAAATAAACAGTGGTGTCAAAGCCAGTCAGTAACTGAATTCAACACATATGATGCTTCGTCTGCAAAGGCTCTAATGTTGCAACAGTGAGAGCAAACACAGCTCTGGGTTCACCACAGGCTTTCATGTGTCGGTCACACGGGCTGATTCTTTCAGCTGAACACACACAACGGCCCGGAATGACTGGTTCGGGACCAATTGCCTCCAAATCATCTTCCCATTGGCCAAACACAAAGAGACACTTTTCCCACAGGCATGAGCAACAATACAGGGAGCAATATTTAGGTCACACAACCACAGCTTCTCTGTGAGTGTGTGTGTGTGTTTGAGTGTGTGTGTGTGTGGTGTCATCTTCCTCGTAAAAATGTTATGCATGAGGCAGGGGATGAAGGGTGGGCGGAGGGAGACAAAATGAATTGGTTTTAAAAGATTGGCAGACGGAGTAGAGAGGAAGTGAAAGGGATTAAGGTGGTATTCTGGAAAAGGGCATGTAGAAGTGCGCGACTGGCTAAGAGTAATGACTCGTGCTCACTCTGTCAGATTACAATCCGGATTTATACGTCTCCTCATACGTCAAATGTCTAATTAAACCTAGGGCTTGCTTTGTCACAGTGTCTCACTTTGTCCATTTGTTTCTATTTCCTACAGTGATGTGTTTCAACCGTTCAGGATAGTTCAAAATGTGGTTCAAAACACTGTGACTGTGAAGTACACACTTCTCAAACCGAGGGAATTGAACCTGAATGTTTACTTTGTTCAGCAGAGATGCCCAGCAGTGAGGGGAGCTATGGGTTTGTTACCGGTTCATTCATTAAAAAAAAAACAAACAAAAAAAAAACAGGGACAAAGAAAATTGTATTTTACTACTACCGCAAAGTAAAGTTACATACGTAGACCGCTATGACTGACTAGTGATTTTGTGTGTGGTTTTTGTTGAGACAGTGCAGTGCAAAGGTGATGGTGATGGTGCTACAGACCATTGTTTCCCAAAGTCTGGGTCGCAACCCTCAGGTGGGTCACAAGAGATTTTTGTTTGGGTCGTCTCGCATCATGTTTCCCAGGAGTTTACGAATAATGTCTATTGACTTGGGTCGCAAAGGTTTGGGACTTTTAAAATACGGGTCCCCAGAAAAAAAAAAGTTTGGGAAACACTGCTACAGACAACAAAGCACTGACTTTGTGTCAGTAGGGTTGTGAGTATCGATTCCTTGGTATTGATATAGCGATACTCACAAGAGTATTTGATAACGATTTTGCAAAGTCATTTAGAGTCGTTTACAATTATTGTAATTATTTTTGATTCTCGCTCTTGTTTTGTTCCACAAAATGTGTATTTCCTGGGGGTTTTTTTTTGGTTTTATTTTTTGTTTGTTTCTCTGGGATGGGGGCGCTAAAAAGCCCAGAAATATCACACAAAGTATCGATACCAGTACCTGCATAGAAACGTGTCAAAAAAAAGAAATCAGGATCTTATAAAATGAAAACAAACAAAAAAAAAATCTGGTATCATGCATCACCACCTCATACAAATACACTTTTATAAAATGAGTTGTATTTAAAAAAAAGTCAATCCAATAACAGAGTGATCGGAAACAGTCCTAACAAGAGACAATGGCTGCGCAGTTAGCAGTTAGAGGAAGTGTTGTACACCCAATGGGGACACAAACCAGGTGGTTAACAAGTCCAGGGAGGGAGGGGTGAAGGTGAGTCGGTGGGTCCAGTCCAACCTTTGATGAATTGTCTCTCGTCCCATTCGTTGGTGTTGCAGACATGTGCACGCACCATCAGCAGCCAGCCATTACAGTGCTTTAGTGTGGCTATACTGTATGTCTCGGCCAGTTTTTAGTGGCACACACCCAGACACCCACATGCACATGTTGGCTGCCTCGCTGGGGAGCTATAGTGGACATGATAAGCAAACGGAGATGGACCATCTAGGGGGGATTTAGGAGCTTAGAAGCCTTTTGGAAAGTGCACAATGGGCTTCAACAGTTAGCTGATTGGGATTAGTTACACCACAAACACACACAAACAAGATTTGAATTCACAGACGTTTGCTGGTATCAGCACACACATGCGGCTCCTTTCGTTTTCAGGGCTTGAGCTGTTTTCCACTTTTTCTCCTCATGCCTAAAATATGGGTTCAGTTTTTATCAATCCATTAAAAAAGTAAGGACTTTGTGGCTCCTGACGTCAAGCCAACTCGATGCAATACAAGCTACGGTGCCAGCAATGGGGATAATGCATTTCTATCAGGAGGCAGTTAGCAATGCATTTCACAGCTAAAGTGAATGTCATTTTGAAAAGGAGAAGTGATTATTTGTGTCATTTGTTATTATTTATGTTTTTTTTCTTATTTGTATTTAACTGATTATCAAATAGTGGCGCTTTGGCCCAGAGGCAATTTCTCTGTCATTGGTGTGGAACCCCAGGGTTCACCTCCTGGACAACTGCTGCCCCCGCGACCCGGTAACGGATAAGCGGATGAAAATGAATGAATGAATGCATGATTATCAAATTGACAAAAAAAAAAAAAACGTACAGTGGGGCTTCAAGATACGAGCTACCTGAAAGTTTTTGAAGTTACGAGTAAGAAACTCTTCAAGATTTTCTTTGTGATATGAGGAAACATCGAGTTACAAGTGCTCAACCCAGCTCCATTTTTCCACTCTACACTCGCTCACTGTCCCTCGTTTGATGTTTTATCACCTTTTATAACAATGTTTTAAAATGTTTTCTTAATTATTATTATATTATCAATATCTTTTGAAGGGGGGGTCATTAATTAATTAATACAATATTTCTGGGGGGCTGGAACAAATGAATTGTTTTTAGTTATTTCTATTGGGGAAAACACAATCGAGATACAGGTGATGTTGTGGAACGGATGAAACTCGTGATCTTGAAGCCCCACTGTATTTCAATGAATTTTTTTATTTCTTTTCTGTAACTTAATATTTATGGATCAGCATTCATATTGTATTGCAGGTGTCTTGAGGGATAGAATCTTTTTCGGACAGACACTAAAATGAAAAAAAAAATCGCATTTTTGTCTTATATTATTATCTGATGTTTAGGTTGGAATCGAGTCGCGGGCCGGATTGGACAGTTTGGCGGGCTGGATTTGGTATGCAGGCCATGATTTGTGTTTTTTCCAAGTCTATGATATGAGCCAACACTGATGAACACTACAGAAAAATGACCACCTAAACTGTTCCCCTGCATTTATGTATGTTACCTCTCAACGTTTCCCTAGCAGAAACACCGTAGTACTATCCGATGATACTACTTGTAACTGTTTAAATCACAGTGTTTGGCACTTACTTATGTGGAAATATAATTGAAAGCTATGAATTGAGCACTGAAGTTATAGTCAATTAAACTGAAGCAGGTAGTTATACTCGAGGATACTTACACAACAGGCGATGAGAAGCAAGTGGTTTTCTGTTAAAAGTGAAAATCATGTTCACATAAAGCTGCCAGTGTGACATTTACAAATCACCACAGAGTGGCCTGTAATGGACCTGGATCTCTTCAGCTCAAAAATACTTCAAGGCAAATGACCTTTTTTAGGTAATGTTTGTTCATTTGCATGTGTATATACTGTCACATCCTCTTCTAAAAGCCCCAGAAAAACATATGGAAACTAAAGCAATTCAAAAAGTAAAAATGTTTCCCTCCGCAGAGCAGGGATAGAAGTCACACACTAACTCACAACGCAAGCCGTGGCTCATTTTTGCGTATAAACCAATGCCGTTCGGTAATATCACTTTGTAAAATGTTACGCTTGTAAAGGCTGACTTTAAACTTGGCAACCCCGTGCATGTGCTCGTCAATCAAATGCTCTCTGTACATCCCCTAAGCCGAGGTGTCAGGCCTCTCAGCTACACAATTGCAAGCACTGACACTTTGCTGACACATTTGCTTTTATAATTCTTTGATTATTTTGTCATGAATTCATAATAGACTCACAGAAAATGCCCGGACGAGCTGCATTGACAAGGTAAAAACGTTGCAACATTTGGTGCCAGCTCCTGGATGATGATGCCAGGTTCATTTGCAAGCTTAAAATGAATGCATCCGGAATTCTAATTCACGTTTAATTAAGCACAGTGCGTATTGATTAATTAAGGAATTCATAAAACCTCCTCGAAAGGAACACTTCATGTTTTTCTGAAGCGCACGTCAGAAAAATCAGTGTAACCAACCTTTTCTGAGCCACAGCACACGCTCCCAAAAGGTACTCAGTATTAAACCTTATCCTGTTTAGCTAAACACAACCCTGATAGACTCGCAGGAATTGAAGAAAGACAGAAATCTTCTTCAAGATTCTCTTTTTTTTAAAGCAATCTGCTGCTATCTAGTGCTATCCATCCCATCTATAAAACTTTAATTTATAAAATAAATAAGAAAATAAATAATAGCTTCAGACCAATTAAGTGAAACTGGATAATATCCCGTGGCACCAGAGGTTGAGAATCACTCGTTCAGTGCCTCGTAACCTTATATCTGCTCAGACTAGGGTGTCCTAAAGTGTAAAAAATTTCAGCTGAGAAAGTAGTGAAGTCAGTGGCAAAAATTGAATTGAGTAAAAAATGAATTGAATCAACTTTGCTTCTGGAAACCTGTGTCAAAGCAATTTCAGAAAGCTTTTAGAGAGGTTTCAACAAAACGGCACACCAGAACTTTTACCCTCAGATTGATAAATAGTACATTTGAGTTCTCTATTAACTCCCTGCAACATCATAGAATGGCTGACAGTACAAATGATGTTTACGCTTCGTGAAGGGAATAATGTCAAGGTATCCACTGTGGAAAAGGTCTTGTTTGGGTTCCTACTGAACACGAGACGTGGAAATATTCTACAAGGGGTTTCTCCGGGTACTCCTGTTTTCCTTGGGTTGTTTGGACAACATGGGTATAAATATTAGTGTGAATGGTTGTTTATACTGATGTGGACCTACAATGGGCTGGCAATGGAATTCTCTGAGCTGAACATGATCCTGTGGTAGAAAACTGATACATTTATGGATTTATTAATAAATAATTTATAATTATTATTTGTGGATTGTTATGCAAAATTGTTGAAAGATTGAAAGAAATATCCTGGTTCAGGGCCAATTCCAAATTTCCATGTATTGCCAGTTCATGCTCTAGAGCATATGTGTCAAACTCAAGGCCCGGGGACCAAATGTGGCCCGCCAAGCCATTTTGTGTGGCCCGCGGGAGCTAAAAAAGTTCATGCATCACTTTCTTATCCTGAGAAATTAAAAGTTTTTATAATCAATCAAATAATTATATTTATTAGTCTGTTATGGAGTAGACACATCTATACCAGTGGTCCCTGACCTTTTTTGTTCCAAGGACTGGTCAGCCAGTACCACCTGTTACTACAGACCAGTACCAAGGTGCTGAGCATCGAAGGATCATTACATTTTCAAAATAAAACATCTTTTAGACTCGAGTCTGTTTGTATCAGAGTCTGAATGAGATATTGTTTTGAAATATTGACAGATTATCGTTATATAAAGAAAGTAAATGATATGACTGGATCATCTTTGAATGAAGGTAAATTAATAAAAATTAAGTCAAGTTTTTCACTGTGTCCCCCTGCGGCCCAGTACCAAATCACCTATGGACTGGTACTGGTCCACGGACCAAGGGTTGGTGACGCTATACTGTACAGTCTTCCATTTACAACCGGCCCTTCAAGGGGAACTGTATTGCTGATGTGGCCCCTGGTAAAATTGAGTTCGACACCCCTGGTCTGGAGGGTTCCTCCTGCACTCCCCCTTGGTTGTATGCTGGTCCCGAGAGATTTTCCGCGTTGACCTGAACCTTTCTTTGAGTTTTTCTTTGTTTGGTTTGCCCTTAGTTCTGTTTTGGTCTCTGAGCAGTTGCCCTTCTCTACCTGATGTATTTGACTTGTTCTGTTGTTATTGTTACAATAGCCCTCGTATATCTTAGTCTCTCCAGACTACTGGACAATGTCAGTCAATCCATCTTCCTTTCAAGCATCCTGTTATTTTCAAATACTCTTTGCTTCGGCTCTGAATTTACTCTTTCATCAAGTGTGTCTCTTGGGAAATGTTTTTTTTTTTTTTTTTTTTAAATCGACACATTAAAGCCATGTTACCTGCAGATGGCACTGCTTAGCTACAGCCTAGACCAGGGCTTTCAAACTCATTTTGGTTCAACATATTTAGTACTGGATTGGAGCAGTACAGTTAGAACCTAATTAACTATAAATAAGCCCATGTGTTTCCCCTTTTGTTTCCATGCAGTAAGTATATGAGACATTATTACAATTTATTTTACGAAAATAATTCTAAACAAATGTATCACGGCAGACCAGATTGAACACCCTGACGGGCCGGTTTTTGCCTGCGGGCCATATTTTTGACCCCCCCTCTGGTTGAGACAATCAGACTACAGATGTATTTTAAACTTGAAATTGAATTCGCAGCAACACAAAGATACAGATAACACATAATGAAATATGCAGAAAAACACACTTACAGCGGGTTTCCGTTGACAGAGCAGGTGAGGCTGAGCGAATCGCCCTCTCGCAAAATTCCGGCTGGAGGAATAATCCTGACTGTGGGCGCAACTGTAGGAAGACGGAGGAGTCAAAAGAAAAATGCGCATGAATACATTTCCGGCAACATAATGCGTTAAAATGATCAGAACTGAACAGCGCTCACGTACAGAAGAGGGGAAAAAGGAAACATCAGGATTCAGTACGTCAGGTGAAAACAACATGAAACTAGGCAGCCATAAGAAAGAACAAGTGAATAAGTGAATAAGTTACAGGAAGCAGGGTCCTTAACACGTGTTTCCAAGGCAACCGGCTGACAATCACACAGCTAAGACACCTGTTATCAGAGTGGCCCAGCTTAAGCAGCTGCCTGCTGCCTGTCCTGGCCTAACTGAGAGATTGGATGGCAAACCTCCACTGACAGTCACTCATTATTGCCAGTTCTCTGGTTGCAGAAACCATTGGCTTTCACGTTGAGAAAAAGCTGAATGAATAAATTATTCAAATTCATCAAAAATAGACATTTAAATGAGAAAACAATAAGGAAATGTTTTTTTTTGTCTCACATTTGAATCACCTTATGGGATGTGATAAAAATGATCAGTATGTCATCGCATATATTTAATAAAGTTATACTGAACAGTGTGAAATACCGATAAGCGTAGTGCTCAGGTGGAGTGGTCTCCATTACAATTTATCTTTCTTTTTCTGTTATGGTTTTGTTTGTTTGTGAACCTAGTTTGTTTTCCTCCCTCCGCCAAATTTCACTGGGAAAATAAGGAGTTTTATCATTGCACACGTGTTTGTTTTCGAAAATATCATTTGTTTTATCATTGCACACGTGTTTGTTTTTGTCATTTATTAACTCAGTAATCCATTCAAAATATTTCGTCACTCCTATAACGGACCAACGAAGTCCAATCAGAGTTGCATGGTCATGGAAACAGGAGGTAAAATACAGGGCGAGGGCCAATCAGAGGTACGTTTGTTGCTTCAGACTGCGGGACATGAAAACGGAGATCGAAACCCACAGCCAACGTTTGTCATATTGTAGAATCAGTGAGAATTCTCACATCCTCTCTCCCTCTTGCTTTCTATCTCTTTCTCCCTCCTTCCCTCTCTCTCTCTCTCTTGGCCTTGTTTTCGCTCAATCGCTCTATCGTTCTATCGTTGAATATTTGGCCTTGTTCTCGCTCACTCGCTCTATCGTTCTATCGTTGAATATTTCTAAAAGCAACTCAAGACGTTTCACAAGGCTCTACCAGGATGTACAATCACTAAAATTCAGCAACTGCATGAAATGTTGTCTTGAAAATTTTCAATATTTTTACATTTTTAAAAAATATTTTGTAAACTCGGGCTTGAAACACATACGCATCACCTAAGAGTGTTGACTTGTCTTGATAATTCATGACTGATCATGATTAATTCCACCCGTGATTAATTATTTTTTTATTAATTTTAATTAAATTACAATTTAATTTCAATGTAATTTGACTGGCAGCACACTAATATGTTACAGTTGTCTAACATGGTTCTGCTGCCATTTTAATTATGAACTTTCCACAGAGAAAAAAAAAATCTTTTAAAATAAAAGCAAACTTGACCACGTGACCTTTTAGCCACAGGTACATTAAGGGCTTAAGCCAATTATCCAGGCGAAGTTCACTACTCCCATCTAAATATAAGCAGTATTTGTATTTTTAAATTTAAACTGGACGTTCGTATGTGTGGAGACTTAATAATATGTGTAAATGAGCCTGGAAGGAAACAGATACTAGAATCAGTGCTCCTGTTCCTACCTGTAACCCAATGTTTCATTAACTGATGGTGGTTACCTCCTCTGACCACTGTGTCTGACCACAACCTGGCCAAAAGCCTGTTTCTGCAATTATGGGAGATTTGAATGTATTAGGTTTTAATGAGTGCAAGGCTCCTGTAAGGCAGCTCTCGGCATCACTCTGTTTACACAGTGGATAACTGTGAATTTTTATTCAAAGAGAGAGGCGTCTACCACTAAAAGATATTGCTGATATTGATGTGGAGCTCCAACATGGATAGAAATGATGATTAACTGTACAGAATAATGTTGGATAAAACTGTAAGATCTCAAGTTTCAGGATTAGGTATTTTACCGTTAACGTTCCGTGAACTATTCAAGTCATACTTTCTGAACTAAATATCCATTTCAATAGAAAGTTAGACAAATACCTCTCAAAAATTCACTTGGCTCCTTATGACTTCCTCGAGAAAAACTTCAGTGTGTACTTTACGGCATTGTAAATTTCAATGACTACAGACGATTAAACGCTCACTTTTACTGATTATATTACGGTACATCTCACAGGGGTGCACTGTATTTTTAAACCACGTCACTTCGGCGTCCGTTTTCCAACCGGCTGAATCTTTAATAACCATTTTCAATTATTGTATTCTGAAATATTAACAGTACCTTTCTCTGATCTAATGCGAGAGACTGGTGCATTTATTCCAGCAGCAACCTTTTAACTGTGAATCTGTCTGAATTTCACACTTCCATTGCCGTAACTCAAACTTTTGCAAAACTTCAAAAGTGCCCTCTGCTCACTAAGGTCATGGGTTAAAGCAGTGTCCTGCTCAATAAGGTCATGGGTTAAAGCAGTGTTTTTCAGTTATTTTCTATCATTACCCCCCCTAGGGGAAAAACGTTTTTGAAGCCCTCCCGAATTAAAATACTATTGAGGGATATTTATTTATTTATCTGTACCAAACATTGCATGGAGTTGCGGGCATCAGCATTCTGCATACAGTCCCCTGATTGTCAAAATGGATTAATAAAATGAGCTGCAATGCTGCCATCTAGTGACTTTCACTTTCATATACAGCTGTTTTCCCCCGAAACTATTTTTAGGGCCCATATCATTTGGCAAATAATAATAAAAAATTTGACTGTTGGTCCCCGGGGTAACTGTCCAGAAAAATCGGGCCTGAGTGTCGGTCCCTGGGGTAACTGTCCAGAAAAATCGGGCCTAATCTGGCCTTCCGTCAAATATAGCTAGTGATACATGATAGTAAGTGACAATATTGGAATAGAGCAGTAAATAGTCGGACTTACAGTATACATCCAGGCGGTAGTGGCGAACCTTCCTCTGTCCACCTAAAGCAGGGTGGTAGGCCTCACAGCTCAGCGCTGCACCATTGTCTTTCCTTTCGACAGGAATGCGGATGGTGCTAGAAACGCTGAACGTCTTGCCGTTGTCCTGTTGGGACACCACGCCTGGGAAAACAGAAGTCGCAGGGTGATGATGATGTAAATAACTTGAGTGTTTGTGAAACATGTCTGCGGTCAAAACGTGTGTACCCGTTATCCTGCCGAGCTATCCCACGTATGCAGAGACAAGAAAGAAGAGCCTCGGACAGACCGCCGTCAAGGCGGGAGTAAGGAAGAAAGATGAAAGTTACTGGGTGATGAATGAGCTTCTCACGGCAGCACTAGGCGCCAGAGGAGGGGGGGGGGGCGGGGGGGGCGGGGGGGGGGGGAAGCAAAGGG